GGCCCTCTATGAGGTGGATTGATTCAGTGACTGGGGTAATCGGGATGGATGTATTGGAGATGGTGATTGGCACAGGACAGAGCAGAATTTAGGGCTGTTGTACATAGGATTGCTATGAGTCGCAAACTAGACGGCACATAACAACAACAACAACAACAATATACATAAGTATGCATGAGAAATCCTAACAATTTTTCAAATCAATTTTGTAGCTATCTAGAATCCTTCTAGCACACTTTTGAACATTCTATTTGCAAAGTAATCATGAAGTGGAAATGAATTACAAAATTAATATGCCCCAGCTCCTTCCAGGAAGTGTTCTGGCTGCTTATTACAAGGACACATTAAAACAAGAAAAAAGTTGAATTTAAAAAGGAAAACCAGAATCAAAGAAAGCAATTCAAGCTAAGGATACTAATCTCAAAGATGAAACAGCCAGGGTCACACTCCTGAGGTTCGCAGTAAAGGACCAGGACAGGAGAATGACTTCCGGAAGTCTGTGTTAGTGAATTTGTTGCCCTTGGTATATCTTCAGGGAAATAATTTATAAAGAAGAAAATATCCATCTGAGTTTCAAAACTTGTTGTTGTTGTTGTGTGCTGTCCATTCTCCTGGAGCTCTTAGTGACCCTATGTATATGACGAAGAAAATAATGACTGTAGGGAGCTCTGGTGGCTTAGTGGTAAAGACTTATCCTGCCAACACAAAGGCACCCAGTTCAAATCTACCAGCTGCTCCTCAGGAGAAGAGAAAATGATGACTGTCATTTTTTCACTGTCTTGGCAAGTGTGAGCTTGGGCAGCAGAAAACAGCCACTGGTTCTCTATACAACATCATGAAGTCACTGCTTCTCCCTAAGCCTCAGTTTCCTCACCTGCTAATTTGAGATCTTCTACCTGTTTCTCAGGACTAGCATTCAGTAGCATGTAAGATCGCCATATGGTTGTGACTTGCATGCTGCTATGATGTTCAAATCAATGCTCCCAATATTTCAAATACCAGCAGATTTACCCATAGTAAACAGGTTTCCGCAAAACTTTCTGAATAAGATAGACTAGGAAGAAATACCTGGCAATTGAGTTCCAAAAATTGTTGTTGTTACTAGTAGGTGTCAATGAATTAGACTAGACTTGTAGTGACCCTCTGTACAACAGAATGAAATGTCTGGCCCGGCACCACTCTCACAGTCCTTGCTGGTTTTGAGCCCATGTGTCAGTATCAATCTTTTTGAGGGTCTTTTTTTTACACCTATTATTATTATTATTATTATTATTTCAGTTCAGTGAAAGAGAGGGCCCAGGGCCATGAGGCTCAGAAGAAGGTCACCTACAAGAGACATGGGAACCAGTGAAGAGGAAGCTCTTATTTTACTTTCTTCTTGGGGTGCAGGTTGTGGATGTGCCTACACTTTTTCTTGTGACAACTGACAGCACGAGGATGCCAGAGAGCATACCACTTGTGGCAGATCATCTTCTCACAGTGATACTGCTGTACAAGCTGGTGCCAGGAAAGCTCGATAATGCCTCCATGCAGACGCACCACCAGGTGCAGGGTGGACTCTTTCTGGATGTTGTAGTTAAGAGTGTATGGCCAGCCTCTACTGTTTGTCTCTGGGAAATATAAGACACTGCTGGTCAGCGAGCATGCCCTCCTTGTCTTGGATTTTGGCTTTGACATCCTCGATAGCATCACTGGGCTCAACCTCAAGGGTGATGGTCTTGTCAATCAGGGTTTTCACAAAGATCTGCATCTCCGCATCTGCCACTTGGCAGCCTCCTTGAAGAGAAACCGCATGATGCCTTCTCCAGGGACCAGTCACTCCTTATAACATATCCGAAGTATGCAAGATAAATTCTCTCCATCCTCTCTTCCAATGAGCATTCTGATGACATTTCTTCCAAGACAGATTTGAGGGCGTTTTCTGACAGTGCATGGTACATCATGGACAGTCAATATTCTTCAACACCAGAATTCAAAGATACAAACTCTTCTTCAGTCTTCTTTCATCATTGTCTAGCTTTTACATGTATATGAGGTTGTTTGGTGCCATCAAGTCAGCTATGACTCATAGTGACCCTATGACCTGACCTGAACCTTATCTTATCTTGTACCATCCTGACCATCTCTGATATACTTGAGCCCATTTTTACAGTTACTGTGTCAATCCCTCTTATTGAGGGTCTTCCTCTCTTACATCGATCCTCTAACTTTCCAAGCGTGATGTCCTTTTCCAAGGACTAGTCTCTCCTAATAACAAGTCCAAATTATGTGAGACAAAGCTTCATATCCTTAGGTCAGGCATGCCTTAGTCCTCCAAGTGACGTCCAAAGATCAGTTAATGAAAAGCCTATGGATCATAAAAGAAGATCATCTGATTTTGCTGCTTTGGAACATCATCTAGAGGAATCCATCTCTGGAGGAGTTCATTATATTTGGTGAAGTAGAGGCCCGCAAGGACCAGAGAGATCTTCCATGAGATGGCTTGGCATAGCAATGAACTTGAATATGCTGGTGATTGTGATGATCACATACAGCCAAACAAGGTAAGGTTACCACAGCTATCTTTCTAGTAAATAAGAGATAGTGAGAAAAGCTAGTGCAGTGGTATCCCTTACAATCTGGCTATCTGTCTCTGATAGCAATTAACCTATAAAAGATAGGGTAATGATGAGGGAAGGGTGATTGGGGTTGGAATCACAGATCTGAGTCTTTAAGGAAATGTCTCCTCACCCTGCTGCTGCAGTCTCATCCACTCTGTGGGACCAGACCTCTTTAGAGATCTTAGATGCTGCTGTGCCTCATATCCAGTCACAGAAAACAAAAATTAAAACCATTTTGGAGCTTAAAATGAATGTAAAGAAGATGAACAAAGTTATTATTTCCCACAGGATGATTTCTTGTAATGCCATCTTGAAATACCAAATTATTTTACCCCAAAATCCTATCTGTTATGAAATAGAATGTGAATGAAGGAAAGTATAAAACACAATATATAAAAATTGTCTATGCAAACCAATATAAATTTTTTTTAAAAAACCAAACCTGTTTGTTTTATGGTTTTGAGCATGTGTGAGCATACAGGTGTATATGCATACACACACGTGTGCACATGTATGTGTATATGTGTATGTACATTTCTACCTGGGCATCCAATTGCTTTGGAAGGTACATACAGCTTCATCTCAAGTGGGAGCTGATAATACCTGTCATTATAAACAATTAGGGTAAGATGTCATAAAGAACTTAGTACAGTTAGTATCCAGGTTATGGCAAGGGATCAAAGGACAACTATTCCTACACATAGCATCTTTCCCTGGTCCCACAGATCTCTTTAAGGGAGCACATAGTAGCTCACCTACCTCTTGCCTGCCCCACCTGTCACTCTCTTCCCAGGAGAGGAGTGACTCATCTGATGGGCTAGCTGGCAGGGAAGTGTTCAGGACCCTCATCTCCCTCCCTTGCTTTGTTCCACCCAGAAAACACTCATGGCTGCTCTGCCCTCCACACAGCAGGAATTATAGCAGTGACCCAAGGAAGACCTCTGGGGGTCCAGCTGGGCCAGTAGGGATGGGATTGCTACCTGAGGGTGACATATTAGATAGCATATCTGGCTCTTACACCCAAGCCAAGCTTCCAATATCTATTTCACCAGTTGTATATTGATTTCATTGGAAGCAGGAGTGGCATCCACTTCTTAAACAACATTCCTCTGGAAACTCTATGAACTTTGATAAATGATGATATTTATAGAAAGGCTTTAGGACTTTTGTTCAGAGGGTCACTATTAGTCATGCTCAACTTGAAGGCAATCAATAATAGCAACATATTGATCTCAACTCAGTCTTTATACACATCTATAAAAACCTCCTCCTCCTCATCACCATGGATGAAAGAGACATTACCCCCAAAATATATTTTCAGCTGGATGCAGGAAGTGAAAGCACACTTGTAGGGCTGGGTGGTGTGTGCAATACTGAGACGAAACAACTGTGCATTAACAGACCTTCTGGAATCAAAGTTACAACCTGTCAGCCTTTCAGACTTTCCTAATGTTTATTCTCCTTTGTTTATTCACCTTACAATTTAGAAGGAAGTGCTACAGAAGTGGCCCCAAGCCCAAGCAGTACAGCTGTGACAGACAATGGACCTCAGTTGGTCATTTCTGTGTAACATAAATTCTTTTTAAAACAAAAACCACAAAAGCATTTCTGTTCAGTAAATTCCATTTGCTTATTGTACCAAAGGATGCTGGTCTAATAGTAAGAAGCTACACCGCAATCCCAAGGAGAAGCAGTTCAAATCCACCAGCTGCCAGTGGAAGAAAGATGCATAATCTCTTCCCATGTGATTTACTGCCTCTAAAATCCTGCTGAAAGGTCAACTACAGTTGGTTCCTATTCGATGGCCTATATTAACAACAAAAAAGTATTATCAAAATGTATTCGGCAAGCTCAAACGGAAACTTCTACACCAATGTTTATAGCAGCATCGTTCACCATCGCAAGAACATGAAAACAGCCCAGCTGTCCAACCACAAATGAATGGACTGGAAAGTTGTGTTATATTCATTCTCCGCCAGGAGCAATGATTTTGTAAATTACTACCTAACTTGGGAGGGACTGGAGAGTTTTATGCTGAATTAACTCAGTCTCACAAGGACAAACACTGTATAAAACCATTATTGCAGAATGAGTATGAGGATCCAAGGGGAAGGCGTAGGGTGGAAATAGAGGGGTGTGGATGGGTGGGGGGGTACAGTGTTAATCATAGGGTTGCACAATTCGATGGGTGGGTGGGGTGAAGGAAATGGGAAGGATCTTCTGTGAAAAACAATGTATTCAAACTTTATAAATAAATTTGAATAAAAGAAAAAATGTATTCTGCAGCCCACAGGCTGACACTGGTGCAGAAGGGCTGGGAGCGGCAATGCGCATGTCCTGCTGGTTTCCCTGCAGCATCACGTGAGCGCCTTTCCTCTGGGCAGCGGGGTGGGGACTCACCTCCACAGGTCTCCTGTATTCGCACCACATCTCCGATCTGCAGCGACAGCTGCGGGGCACCTTGGCCTTGGAAGTTGTAGATGGCTGTGAAATGGAACAGAGAGGCAGCCACATGAAACCTCACCTCTGTGGCTGGCCCATTTTGCTCCCCATGCAAAGGAGCACTGAGTATTCTCCCAGGTAAAACCACGGGAGGGAATCTAGAAACCTGAGCATGGAATATTCTCCTGGCTGGACTTTTTGTTCTTTATTAATTAAAATCTTAACATTTTAAAATTACATTCAGGAACCCATTGCCTACCCCAGGTATTAATCCCAACCCAATCTGACTTCCCACGGTGCAAAGCCTGCCAGCTCCGAGTGGCACAGCCACTGACCACTGACTCCTGCTATGTGCCAACCATGTGCTTGGTGCACCCCTCATTTCACCTCACCCTGAAGAGGTCTACCCTGGAATCTCATTTTACAGGCTCACCAGTCAAGGAAGCAGCAGAAAGATCAGCAACTAAATTCCATCCTAAACCAGTAATAATATCTACTTTCTGCCTCCCCCCCCCCCACCTAGTTACTTCCCTCCCTGGGGACAATAATCTAACATTCCAGGCTCTCCATCACTCAAATGTAATAGAATCTTCAACCCGCAAATGTGGGCAATCTCCTCCTGTTCTAGTTTACAGCCTTGAGACCCCAAAGGATAGTTAGTTAAGGGCTGGTTCCAATTTGAAGGCAATGAGTGAGAAAGAGAAAGAGAGCTGAGGACATGATCTCATTTGAAAATAACGTTTTCTTTGTTACATAAACTAAGCCATATTATTGTAGGGTGTGGCCTAAACCCCGTGATTTCTGAGTTACAATAAAAGAGCAGATTAGGCACAGTATGAGGCATAGGGAAGAAAGATGCCTTCTGAAAATTACCAAGAACCAGGAATCCCCATGGCTACTCACAAAGATGAAATCTGCAGGGCAGCAACCTTGATTTGGACTTTGAGCCTGAAGAAAAGGAATTTTTGTTTTTCAAATATGGTGGTATTTCTGTTACAGCAGCACCAGGAGACTAAGACACCAATGTTTGTTCCTCTAGCTAAAGATACCTGTTCGTCAGCCTCTACCAAAACAGATCCTTGAGGTCAGACGTGCCATATGCAGGAGACCTTCCCTGGCTTCTCCAGCCCACACTGACCCCATCTCTTAATTCTGCAGCACTCACCTGAGTCCTTAGCATGACTGCATGTGCTCTGCCTTCCCACCGCCCCCGTCAGTTTCTGGGGGACAGGAGCTGCCTGTAACCACCCCTCTGTGGTGTCAAAGCCTCCACTACCCATGCAGAACATGAGATCATGACATCCTATTGTAGAGCTCAGGCCCTGTTCAGCATCACTAAGTGAAAATGCCTTCTACCTAAATGTGAGACACAAACTGCTTTCCAAGCACTGAATGGAACCAGCATCTGGAGAAATCTTCAGAAATGGACAGGATACGTGTGTGGTTTAGTTTAAGGAAAGATCTTTAGGGGATGAGTAATATGAACTTACTAGGCTGCCATCATTCCTTTAGGGGGCAGATAACCCTAAATGCCTACAGTTTCCCAGGCCCACACTGGGCTCTGCTCTCAATCCAAACACTCAAATAAATGTAAAATATGATTCTTATAATGGAGAAAACAAATGGGTCTGTAGAGAATAACAGGGGGCATCAAGTGGCATCCACTTTACTTAGGGTAGTCAGGATAGGGCTCCCTGAAAAGAAAGGATTCAAACAAATCTATTAAGGAAAGAAACAGTAAAGGGAAAAGCACTCCAGTCAGAAGGGGGTCTAGCATTGTGCAAAGGCTCTGAGAGCATCAAGGAAACCTGTGTGGATGAGAGTGGTGGAAGAGGAGCCCGTACCACAAGAGACGAAAGGGAGAGGCTCTCAAAGGCCAGCATGGGGAGTTTGGGGTTTAGTCCAAGAGAATGAGACGCTCAAGAGGTTTGGGGCTTACATTCTTTTGTAAACCGTTTTGTTGAGATATAACTGATATACCACACAATCTATTTAAAGTGTACAACTTCAGGGGTTTTAAATATATTTACAGACTTGGGCAACCTTTACCATGATCAAGTTTAGAACATTTTTATTAGCTCAGAAAGAAATTTGTGTGTGTGTGTGTGTGTGTGTGTGTGTGTGTGTGTGTGTGTGTATACACGTACACACACAAAAAAATATGTTTCATTCTGGTTTTTTACCCCTACAGGATGCTAACAGTACCTATCTCATATTACATTTACATGAGACTGAGTAGTGGCCTGGGGCATAGTAAGTGTTTGGTAAATGGTGGTCATCTATAGCTGTTGGTCAGTACCTTAATTCAATAAAAGAGGGGACTGTATCAGAGGGCTAATGCTAACAGAATATACTTTGGAAGTCAGAATATCCTATGGCAGAATGCTATGGGTTTGCTACAAAGCTGATGGAGGGAAAGGCCAGAGAGGATGCGGGAAATTGCAGTACAAAAAAGTCAAGCTGGGATGCAGGTAGTACTTTCTAGAAAGTTCCAGGTTGTGGGTATAAAATAACAGGAATAGGGTACAAAGTGATCCAGGTGAATAGCTAGCTTCCTTCTAGGAAGTAAAACTTTCCTAGTATGTGCTATATATATATATATATATATTTTTTTTTTTTTTTTCAATCCAGGCATGTTCCAAGTTTCAGAGCTATAAAAACTTTTCAGAGATAAGTACTCTCAGGGTTGCCTCTGCTTGTTGTTTTACCTTCACAAGCTGGACCCCAGGTACGGCCCATGCTCTGCTCTCAATTAACCTTTGTGGGTTGCCTGACCCTAGGAGAGATTTAGAAGAATGAATTCACTCCAGGCTGTAGACGTTGACATAACATCAAGGTAAAAGAATGGGTTCAAACACGGAGGGAAGAGTCACAGCAAAGGGTCTGAGTCCCTCATTCTCCTTAGAGACCTTTGGTGGCAAAGAGTTGTACTGTCAACCCAAAGCAGGTATTCCACATTCACCAGTTGCTCTGCAGAAGGTGGCTGATCCCATGCAATTTACTGCCTGACCTGCTGGAGTGTCAGCTCTGACTCAGTTCCAACATGATGGCACATAAAAACATCAATAACAGTCCTCCTCAATATATGAACCATAACCTTTGTAATGTCACTGCAGTGTCTCCAGAAAGCACTATCACAATTGCCACTTCACGTTGTCTTCACAGCTAACCCAGTGGCATTGTTACTGTCATGTGCCGTTGAGTTGCTTATGACTCATAGCAACCTCATAATAATAGCGCTGAACCCTGCTCTAATGTAAGCCAACCTTGTTATCTTTGATACATCTAACCCCATTACCACAGTTGCTGAGTCAATACATCTCATCGAGTGTCCTCCTCTCCTGCACTGTTGCTCCACCCTCCCAAGCATGACGTCCCTGTCCAAGGACTGGTCCCTCCTTGCAACATGTCCAAAGTATGTCAATGAAGTTTCAGAATCTTTGCCTCCAAGGAGCAGCCTGATCTAGTGTTGTTGTTGTTGTTGTTATTGTTATGTGCCATCGAGTCGCCTGCAAATCATAGCAACCCTATGTACAACAGCCCTAAACTCTGCTCTGTCCTGTGCCAATCTCACTGTCTCCGACAAACCCATCCCAATTACCCCATTCACTGAATCAATCCATCTCATAAAGGGGCTTCCCCTCCTGCCCCTGCCCTCCACCCTCCCAAGCATGATGTCCTTCTCCAAGGACCAGTCTCTTCTTACAACATGACCAAAGTATGTCAGACGAAACCTCAGAATCCTTGCCTCCAAGGAGCAGCCTGGTTTAACCCTCTCCAGCATGAATCTGTTTGTTTTCTTAGTAGTTCATGGTACCCTCAATACTCTTCTCTAGCACCACAGCTCAAAGGCATCAATTCTCCTTCTATCCTCCCTAGTCATTGTCCATCTCTCTGATGCATAACAAGTGATTTCTAAGACCATGGCCAGTATCAGACACACCTTAGTCTCCAGAGAGACACCATTGCTCTTCAGTCCTTTGGAGAGGTCCCTAACAGCAGACTTTCCCATCGCAATACATCTTTTCATTTCCTGGCTGCTGGTGCCAAGAGTGTTGACTGTGGAGCCAAGTAAACGAAAGCTGTTAACAATCTCAAACTCTTCACAATCCATCCTGATGCTGCCAATTGGCCCAGTGGTAGAATCTTTGTCTTCTTGACATTGAGCCTCAATCCATATTGAAGGCTGCAGTCCTTGACCCTCTGCAGCAAACACTTCAGGTCCTCCTCAGTTTCAGCAAGCAGGGTTGTGTCATCTGCATAACGTAGAATGTTGATAGATCTTCCACCAATCCTGATGCCGTATTTCTCCTCATAGAGCCCAGCCTCCCGGATAATCTGTTCTGCATACAGGTTGAAAAGGTATGGAGACAGAACACATCCCTGGTGTATGCCCTTCCCAATTTTGAAGCATGTAGTGTTTCCTTGCTCTGTTCTGACAACTGCCTCTTGGTCCAAGTATAAGTTTCTCATTAGCACGATCAAGTGTTCTGGGACTCCCTTTCTTCTCAGAGTCAGCCACAGTTTGTTATCATTGCTTGACCCAATAGGTAGTTATTATTCCCATTTTATAGATGAGGAAACTGAGATTCAGAGAGTTTGAGCTCCCAAAATTCCCCCGCCCCCTCCTGATAAGAGCTGCAAAGCTGGGACTCACACCAACCCTGGTCCCAGGGCTTCTCATAGCACCTGGATGGCCGGTGTTAACCAGCCTCTGCTTCCTCCCTCTGTCTGGCCGCTTGCTTTGAGCTGTGCCAGGGGAAACAAAAGGAAACTCAGATTGTTTCATCTAAACTCTATACTATCAGCCCCTTTACCAAGTTGCTAAACAGACTTTGTGGGTATCCACAGGATAGAAATCTAGATCTTGGGTGATAATACAGATTAGGACTTAAGAATCTGGGACCCTGGGGTCAGGGGCATCTGGCTATTGGCTTAGCTCTGTCATGTGCTGATTCTAGACACAAGTTTAAGCTTGTGGTGACCTAGTGGTAAGAGTTGCCATGTCAAAGATACACAGTTTGAATCCACCAGCTGATCTG